AAAATGGCCTCTCCAGGCTACGGAGGCTTTCCTCAAGCCTCTGAGAGGGTAAAAAATGGCCTCCCCAGGCTCCGGAGGCTCTCCAGAAGCCAGAAACATGCCCATTTCTGGCCTTCCAGAACTTCTGGGAGCCCCATTTTTCCCCCTCCCTGGGCTCCGAAGGCCCGTTTCTGACTTTCTGGAGCCTCTAGGAGGCCCATTTTTCACCCTCCCCGAGCCTCTGTGTGGGCCCTGAACTTACCTGGGATCCAAAACGGGCTGCGTGGAGATTCCTGGGAGGGGAGGGGTGGGCAGAGCCAGCCAGTCGTTGCCACTACCGATTCAGCAAACCAGATGTAAAATCAACATCTGGTTCACGCAAACTGGTAGCAGCCCACCCCCAGAGTCCTGAGAGTCTACAGTACCTATAAACTTTTAAAGACTTTGTTTCGATGAGGGGGCCTGTAATCTAATTAGCTTAGCAATAAAAGAGAATGGAATTGCTCTGACACAACGCAGACTAATGACCAACTTTTAGACTTGAATCTTAAAACCAAACGCCGAGTGCAAAAATTTACAAACTACTGAGGGAGGAGAGAGGTGGGAATGGCCCGTTAACTTTTAAGTGAAAAAAAAAAGAGCTAAGTATACAGTCTTATGAGATGTCAGATTTTATGACTGCATCACTTAGCGATGGCAATTCCAGTCACAACTGCTGCTGTTAACCAAGGACTGCTGGTCATCCAATAAAAATATTCCTAGACTTGATATTTGTTGGACACATGCTGGTCATCCAATAAAAATATTCCTAGACTTGATATTTGTTGGACACAAGTGTTCCAGTTTGTTCCCATGTTTGTTGGACGTACATTGCCTCAGATATAATACCCTTCAAAGGCTTGTTTTCATAACAATTACTTATTATGATTTATTCATCTGAAACCATTTTTATCCTGCCCTCCAGTCAAAGGTTTCCAAGAGAAGTTAGAAAGCGCTCACAAGCTTAAAAAGCAAAATGTTGCAGTGACAGGAGAAAGAAAAAAAAGAACGGAGAAGAAAGAATTAAAACACTGATCTTGGATAACTGTTGTAGAATGACAAACTGGATATTTGCCACAGCAGTCCCTTATATTAAGGGGCTGGGAGTCGTTAGCTGTCATGGGTTTTTGTGCTTTGATCCTCCGACACCACCCTGCGAGAGACAGGCAGCCAAATAAATCATACAAATAAAACAGAGACAGCATTTAATATTTGCTTGGAGTCAAGGACCATTAAATGCCGATGTCATATTACACATCTAAGCAATATCAGGCCCCTCTGCTGGAATGTGGGGCTTGAGAGTTTGTGACCTTCTCTGAGAATAGTTGAGTAAGAAATTAGTTTTACTGGTAGCTATGGGTCACTGAGCCACGATCCATGAACAGTCTTTAGGATCTCTTCAGTGATGATGAGGAAAAGCAGCTGTGGAAATACAGAGCTAATGCAAAGCTAAGAGCGTGCATTAACTCTGCGCCTTTGGGAACAGGAAAAAAGAAAAATCCGTATGAGTTCCAGGATTTTCTACATTTCATGTAATTGCCTTATTATTGGACGGCAGTAAAGTAGATTGTCATCGATGGGTTAGAAAGGCACAACGTTAATCGACTGAACGTGGCAGAAATGAGGGATAAAAAAAATATTGGCATATATCGATTAGCATTAATTGCAACTTCACTCATAGCTGTCGGTCTCGTAGGATTCATCTTTAGCCAAAAAAGAGAGAAGAAAATGAACGGAAATCTGCTATGAGCCTGATGCCTTCCAAAATTTAGGACCCCAGCTGCAGCAGCTTAAATAGGACTCCCCCTTTTTTTATGGTTTGCCACTATGAAAGTTTTATATCCTATAAAACTTCAGTTTAAATGCATCTCTCAGGCAGCGGAGCTCTTCCCAGCTGCCTGCTTGAGCTGCATCCCAGCGTTTCAGTGAGCTGTAAATTTGTAGAAAGTCAGAACTGCTATATAAACACCATGCCAGCAGCCTCTGTTGCTATTAGTCTTTATGCAGCAACAGCAGCAGCAAAGAAACATGAATAAAATTCAGATTTTCTGAAAAAAAAAATGTAAGGCATAAAACAGAAGTAGAAATGACTGGGGTTAAAGATTAGAAGGTTATATATATATATGGATCTTTGGTTGTTCGGGTTTTCTCCCGCGTAAGATTCGAAGTATCTAGGCAACGTTTCGATGAAGTCTCATTCATCATCTTCAGGCTTCTGTCTTCGGCTCTTGCTTCTCAGAATATATGTGTGTGTGTGTGCTTCTCATATGTGTGTGTGTGTGTGTGTGTGTGTGTGTATTACGATGCTGCTAGCCCTGTATTTATACCCCTGATGGGTAGGTTAAAACTCTTGTTTAGGATTAAGGACAGCTTTGAATATATGCATCTAATGCTTGAAGGCTGCTAATTTACATTTGATGAATATATATATTCAAGATCCCTTGGAAGGCTGCTAATCCAATATATTCTAGCAGAAGTTTATGCTCTCAGAAGCATCATTTACAATTCAACGGGTTCCTGCAGATCATATCCTCTCCCTGTGTAACTTTCTCTGCTGGTAATATACTTATTTAGAATAGGTAAAAGTTATTGATTGATGGATCTATCCAGGGGTAGGATTCTACCAATTCAGGTGAACCGGATGTAAAGTTTTCATCTGGTTTGCCAAATCAGTATTTCAACCAACTGGCTGGCCCCACCCACTCCACCCTGCCCCTCCCAAGAGTCTCCATGTGATGCAGGTCCACGTGGAGGCTCTGGGAGGGAGAGAAACAGGTCTTGCAGAAGTCTGGAAACGGGCCTGTTTCTGTCTTCCGGTGGGCCTCCAGAGCCCAGGGGAGAGCGTTTTCGCCCTCCCAGAGGCCCAAGGAAGGTTAGGGTTAGGGACCCATGGGAAAGTGAAAAACAGCTCTCCCAGAAGTACCGGTAGGCCATGCCCACCATGGCCACGCCTACCCAGTAACTGCGCGGTGAACAGGTTGCTGGGATTTTTGAATCCCACCCCTCTTGTGACTCTCTTGTGAGCCAGCCCAAAATTCAGAATATTGATTGTCAAATTCTAAATTTGGTTTTCTTACTAGCCTATTTCTCTTCAGGTTTCAGACGTGGCCGCCTTTCTCATTGTAGGGATTTGCAACGTACTTTCAAGCAGGATCAAAGATGGAGGTGCCTGGATCGGTTGCGCGCATCAGACTGTTGATTTAATTCATCCGCTGACACACCAACAGATTCCATGGGCTGTAAAAAATGTCCTTAGTGATCCTTCTAAAGATCCCAAAAGGGAAATTATGGTAGAAATAGTTTTCAGATTGACAGACTGACAATCATATTTTTTTTTCTATGATTTGTGCTGGTGGGATTTCCAGATGTTCTTGTATCTAACAGATTAGCCTCTGTTTGCAAGATTGAAGTATAACCCATTTGTTGGCGAGAACATGGCAAGACTATGTCAGAGCATATATAGAAAGCTAGAAAAAGAGCAGAGTGACAGAGGGGAAAGCGCTGCTATTTCAGCGACTGTCCTCTGTCGTGCATATTCAGAGATGTTTGGTTCAAGATTTCATGCCTGGCCTGTTGTGAAAGACATTTAAAGGGAAACAAGGGCTTCTCACTAGAAGAGAGACAAACTTTTATCCTAACTATTTTGTATTTCTTTTTCTTTAGCTATTTGCAAATGAGAGCCTACCTGACCACGTTGGTTTTGCACGGGTGAAGATTAACCTCATCAATGAGAATGACAACAGACCGGTTTTCAGCCAGATCCTCTATAATGTCAGCCTGTTTGAGAATGCCACAGTGGGAACTACAATTCTGAGAGTTTTGGTAAGCAGGAGACATGTGTTTCCCCAGCTGCTTAGACCAATATGTACCAATTTATCTGTGGCTGAAACGTTTAAATTTTCAGAAAGCTGGAAATGGATTAGAAAATATGTTGGTTTATATGTTGGTTGGTAATTAAAGACATAAATAGATTTTTATTATAGGTATACGCATTCTAAAGAAATTCCACGAACATGCATACTTATTAGTTTCTTTAAATCTAGATTCACATATCTTTAATAGGTTTAGTCAGATCAATAAGTAGACAAGTAAAGGATGATAACTCTTATTGTAGGTCAGGTTTTAAAGAACGGGGAGGAGAAACATAAGGAATTTATGTTTATGTTTCTTTTCCAGGCAATTTAATCAGACATAAGTTGGCAGCCAAATTTTGAAAAAGCAAAGATCAGAGAATGACGATGTGAGACACTTATGTTCATATCCATAAGTTAATGTTTGTTCTCTGACAGTTGCGAATGGCAAATTCAAAACTTGGAAAGTGAAAGAAATGGGATTAAGGGCAGACAAAGGACATAGAGAGAGAGAAACACAACAGGATGACTGCAAGCCACCTTTCCTTACCAAGATTATTCACTGAGGTGTGGCAATGACTGTTGTGAATTTATATTATTGTATAAGCCTTCCTCTTCTAAAAGATGCTAGGGGCTAGTAACCAGATCTGGGGTTGCAAAAAATCCAGAGAATTGATAACGAAGAGTTGACAATGAACACATATTTTTTCCTATATGTTATTGCTCCCAATTTTCATTTATTTGGGGTAGGAGAAATTCCTTTATTTAATTTTAGAAAGGAACTATTAGGGATAGGAGAAAAGAAACAACAATTTTTAAAAAATTCTCATCTAGTAGTCATCTGCCCAAATCCGATAGCCTTCGGGACAGGTAGAATGTTTTCTTTGTCTTGCCATACTAGAATCAATTTGAACTTAGATGCTGAGAATGCAGAACATTTCTAGGCCAAGAACCCCACTTGGCCGACTATGAGCCATATTACAACTAGGAATGTGGGAGCAGGAAAATTATAAACTCCAGTGTCTTCATTTCCTTTGCATTTAGGCACAGTTAAATATAGCTGGCACGATTACTCTTTGGTAAGACATTGGATCATCTTCGGCCACATCAAAAATTACAAATTGGTAACCACCTTGCAGGTCTTCAGGGGCTCCCCCAGAACCCTAAACAAGCTGCATACATACCAGGCCAGGGTTTGCATCAATGATATATGGCTTAGCAGACCTGGAACACAACAGCATCAAAACAAAGAAAGGACAGTTGAGCAAATGTCCTGCATCAGTAAGATGGAAACAGGCATCGTGAAGCTCCCCCTTAAGAGAGACAACACTTGGGTCAATTAATATAGGTATTGCCTCCAAAGAAAAATTAAATATTCTTTCATTAAGCTTTGAGGGTTTTAGTAAATCTATTATGAAGCTGTTTTTTACAATCAACATTAGTAATTGCTTGTATTCCTTATACCACTGAAGTTACATAAGGAAGATTTTCTTTCCTTTGAGTATGTTTCTCCTCACAGGCCTTTTACACTTAGACTTCAACAGGTTTGCAGATTCTTCCTGAACTCTCTTCTGTTATAAACACAGGAGTTGAAAAGAGAGTTGTAAATGAATGGCGGAGGCTTTGATTATATGCCTCAGAGCTGTACTTGTGATAACCAGTTCATATGCATTGGCTTGTTTATATGGTTGTGATCCGTGTCATTGAGAAAAAACAACCAACCAAGGCCAAGATATCTGCAGCATAACTTGAATGGGCCTTTGATGTCTTTCCCAATAAGATGTTCAAATCTGTCTGCCCACCCTGTTCAGCACTGATATATTCCCCGACGTCCCATCAACCAACATATGCAAACAGGAAGACAGAACTCAGACAAAATGTTTTAAAGGGTTTATATGTAAGTGTGTTTATTCTACAAACAGATGGTATGAAACCATATAGAGCCCCTGAGCTGTTCCCATCTGACAGTTATTAATATTTCAAACAGATGTTTAGCTATTCGGGCTGTCAAACACTAAACAATGAGATTGTTATAGCATCTTTTCTCTCCCTGCACTTCCAGCTATGCCAGCATTTTGAAGCAAATGCAAAATGCCAGGAGTTGAATCCTCTATGATAAATCAGAATACGTGCAATTAGCCTTGCAATACAGATTGGCCTCCCAGCTGATCCCCAACTTTTAAGAAAGTGCTTGTTTGTGTTCTTTTGATACTCGAGAGGAAACACTCTGTACATGTCAAAAGTGCTGTTCATTTATGTGATTGTTCCTGAAAGACGTTGCAACTGTTTAGGCACAATTGAATGTTGATGGGAAGAGTTCAGTAATGTGCAGATTGTACTGCAAAATGATGAACTGCTTTGCTTTGGAGGGGTGTGTCATACATACAAGTGAATTTACATTTCTAAGAATATACTAACTGCCTTGTGCCAAGTCCATTGGCCCATCCAACTCACAGCTTGTCAAGGTTTCCAATAGTCTAATTGGTAAACTAAACTTTAAAAAAGTGCTTTTCCAAACAAACAAAAAAATTAATGGTTGACTCGGCAGCCCAACTAAATCCTAAAATATGTTACTTGACTTTGGATTGTGTCTCAGCATTTATGATATTCATAATGTATATCTTCATGAAGTTTGTTTTCTTGTTTGTTTATTATAGCCCATCTCGCAAGGGGCTATTCTAGGGGTATGCAACAATGATTTAAACAATAAAGGATGTCAAAAAATAACCATAATTTAAAGTGTTTTAAAGTATACAGCACATGAGATCAGAATAGAGAGGGAGACCCCCTCAAGATCTCATTGGCCTCCTAAGATCTGATGACAAAGCTGGATTTTGAGAGCTTTCAGAAAGGAGGAATGAAACTAAATTCACTTTGGAAGGGCAGGAGGAATATCGCACAAGACAGGTGCTATGGCAGAGAATTATGCCTCCTTGGTCCTGCCAAGTTTCTGCTGGATCTGATGGAACAGGCTGATATTATATAGATGATGATGATGATGATGATGATGATGATATACACAACAATGTGAAATCACAGCTGCCAGTTCTTTAGCTGGTGTTGGCCTTCACACATGTCAATGTCTTGGCAAGAGCCTAGGATGTCATAAGGTTTTTGTGTAACATATATGTGGATCCAAGCTGTCGAGATTTTTCTGATTGAGAGGTGGAAATGTTGTCAATGGGCAGATTTTCTAAGTGTTCTCCAAAATATTTGGTACGGCACCCAGTATGCCAGTAACGAATAGGGTCTACCACAGCTCATTTATGCCATAACCTTTCATTTTTGATTTTCAGATTGTAATCTTCTCCTACTCTTTTATTTTCTGCCCTACTATCCCCTGGTATTGCTGCATCAATTATCCATACTTTCTTCTTTTCAACCACAGTTAAATCTGATGTGTTATGACTTTATTTATATGTTAACCTCAGTTTTGACTATTGTTTCAACTGAATTTCCCCACCAGTTTTTCATAACTGGAAAGTAATAATTTTTACAGAGGTTTTGAGTGAATAATTTTGGCATACTGTGTTTTGTTGTTTATAATCAGTTTGCGTGATCTACTTTCACAAGCCAAGTATGCAATCTAATGTTTCTTCTGCTTCTTTGCACGATCTGCACGAGGAACTATGTCATGATTTTTCAATTCTGGCCTTGATTGAACTAGATCAAATAGCTTGCCCCTGCTCAGTCAAAATCAAGGGTTCTATTTTTTAAAAAATGTTTCATTAGTAAGCCATTGCCAGATTTTATCTTTATCCACCTTTTTTTATCCACTTTATCTTTGGTAGAAATTGACTGTGTAATTCTTTTCCTTGCCTGCATTCTGTTCGTATGTTTATGACATTATTTTGATAATTCGCTTTGTGTTTTTCCACATTTAGTAAGATCTAATTTTTAACTTGTGCCAATGCTTTGTTCTTGGCAATCTGTTACATGATCAGCCAATACACTCTTTTTTTCTTTGACAGTTTGTTTGACCTGAAGCAAACTTCTGCCTCCATTTTTGTGGGAGTGGTTATTATTTATTCGTAAGGACTCTGAGCTCTTAAAAAACTCCATACAAGTGGTCCCCATTTTCCATAGTCATGGTATCCATGGTTCTGTATATCGGCAACAGATATCAGAGTTAGGTATATATGTAATTTTTTTTCATGAATCCATCATTTTATTGCACTTGTTTGTTACTTTATGCATGAGCAAAATGGTGGGTGGGCTTATTTCTGCCTATATCTGTCAGGGTTCCAAGTGATGAAATCCATTTAAAAAGAAAAGAGCAAAGTCCATCTTCCAAAACAATTTCTTTTATTTAAGAAAGCATCAAATTGGCAAAGTCCGTGGTAATTCCAGATTTGACACAACCCGGAATTACCTCACAATATCAGAAGTTAGAAACAACCCCCAAAAGTCACATTCTCCAATAGAAGTAATTCAACATTGCTTGATGTCATAAATCTCCACCTAAAGGGGTCTGAACACGGCCAGCTCATTTTCCCAAGGGGAATAAGAATCACCTAGCCTAAATAACTCTCCCTATCTCTACTCTTCCCCCACTTAGGAATGTGGCAAGCCTGAAACCCTTCCCCCATGACCGCCAAAGAGAAAGTAAGAAAAAGAATACATACTAAGCCTAACTAAAATGGCTACACATATGTCAATTTCAGGCTTGACAATATCTCCTCCTCCCTCAGGATCTTACTGAGCCAGCCCGGTCACTGCTGGCTTCTAGAGTGACATCCTTGGTTGGTGACGGAAGGAAGCACCTCATTGGCATCACACGATTCATGCTGGCTTCTTATGAGATCAAACCACAATCAGAGGGCTGCCTGAGCTCCCTGTAAAAGAGAAACTTGAAATACTGGGAGTCCTCAGCTTACAACTGTTTGTCAAAATTCAAAATTACAACAGCATTGAAAAAAGAGGCTTATGACCACTATTCATACTTATGAGTTGTGCAACATCCCCATGGTC